CCCTAAACTTGCCTTTTTATACAAAACATTACACAGAAATTTCAAAGTAAATAAGTTCAGAATTAAATAATATATTTTAAATAAGAAACACAACATTTTAAAAGTCTTTAACAACCACAGTATGGCCTGTACCTTGAGATGGAGGAGGAGCTGGATCTGTGGACACGATGTGGAGGGGAGGATGGAGAGAGAGTCCTTGTGTGGAAGGGGAAGCCCCTTCCATCAAATCAACTGGTCGCTGCTTTTCAGTTTTTCCCTTCTTTGCCTTTTTTAACTAGGACCTGGCTGGCTTTCTCTAAAAAAATAAAAATAAAAAATCTGTCTAATGTGGTCTACTGTTGGCGTTTTCTTAATGTTTTCCAAAAGGGTTAACTAAATTATCATCAACAATATCGATAACATGGTTAACCAGTTCCTTATCATGATGTTTCTTTTAAATAAACCTCTTTCTTAGGACCCATGTTTTCTATCTAAAAACAGTACAAAAACAACAACAACAAAAAAAACCAACCTAAGAAAATTATAGCAATATGCTTGGAACACAGCTGCAAAGGTTTAAACAACACATACTAACAATGCCAACTAACGCCGAGTGACTGAAACACAGACTGCTTTTGTTTACAAAAATCACATGTTTGGTCAGTTTCTGATGGTGTTTTTGAGCTCTGATGCAAAATTTTCTGACATTTCGTGTCAAAATTTGATTATATTCAGTACTACTTGCAATAAAATGACAGCCCCCAAAACCCTCTGGCGCTCATTCTACACTGACACATACAATGAGTCAGAATGGACTCAAGGCAGCTAGGAACAACCCACTTACACATGTGTTCACCATGTATATAAGGACGCTTCAGTTCCAGGACTCCTTCCCTGCTGAGACCCCTTGTAAAACCATGGGAGAGGCTCCAGCAAGATGTTTATGTGGCCACGTATTTTTGTAAAATTGGTAAGCATAATTTATTTTCATTACAATGGATTAGAACCACTGTTTTTCCTCCCCTGCCCCAACGAGCCCAGGTGGCATTATTAAGTAAGCCTTGGATTGCTACTGTAAGGTCAGCAGTTCAAACCCACCTAGGTAAAGAGATGAGGCTGTCTGCCCCCATGAAGATTTACAGTCTCCAAAATTCTGTGTAGTGTCCCAATGATTCAGAGTCGACGGAATGGCAGTGGGTTTGGTTTTATTGTCTTTTTTCTCTTTCAGTGTCTCTCTCTTCCATTTTGTTTTGCATCAGGTGCTGCAGGTAAATTGGGAGTCTGGCTAAAGGTATATGGAGTTGGGAATACATGTAGTTAGGGTGTATTGTTAGCTGGTGACAAGCACACCCCTCAGGGATAGATCGCCAGGCTTTTCTTCCTAGCCCATAAGCTTTGGTGAAATCTCTTCAGTATCACAGCAATCCACAAACCTCCACGAGCTCATGAATGGCACCTGTGCTTGAGGTGCTTGAGGGGAAGCTGGATCTCCTGCATAGAGAATGAGACATCTGCACTGAACCACACTGGCCCTCGTAAGGGTGTCTCCCTCTCACTGCCCTCGAGTCACTGTGTAAATAAGAACCTAGAAACAGACTCCGATTCCCATGCGTTCCCAACACCAGGCGTTTCTTCTGAGCCCATAGCTTTGGTGAAATCTGTTCAGTATCAGAAGAATCTGGATCGTTTTTGGGGGGTGGTAGGGGATTACCTTTCAGAAGTTGGTGGCTCTGTGGGGAAGCATTTGGCTGCTAAGTCACTTGTTCAAACCACCAGCCACTCTCAGGAGAAAGAGGTAGCAGACTGTTTCTGTAAACAGGATGTCTATCTCTAGGAAAGTAAACAAATCAGTGAAAGCTTAAGTATAAATTATATATATTTATAAGTATAAGTATTTATACTGTTTGTATGAGTATTTGTGAAGGCATAAACATGTCAAGAGAGTAAGAAAGAATGTTATTTACTACTAAGATTTTAAAGAGACAGCAAGAAAATCTGAAACCAGTAGTTCTTAACCTTCCTAATGCCATGACCCTTTAATACAGTTCCTCATGTTGGGGTGAACCCCCACAACCATAAAATCATTTTTTCCCCATAAAATCATTTTCATTGCTATTTCATAACTATAATTTTGCTACTGTTATGAATCGAGTGATACCTGTGAAAGGGTCGTTTGACCCTCCAAAGGGGTCGTGACCCATGGGCTGAAAACCATTGTCTTAACCCATATGGGACTGAGGGCCTAATGGGAAGCCAACGTGGTTGTTTGATGGCATCACCCGTGGCATCTATTTAAGGACTGTGTAAGGCCAGGCTCAGAGCCATTATCCAGCCTTTAATGCTATAAGTCTGGTTAAGAACTAGCTGTGGGGAAAAGCAGGTTCCCTGGAACCGTTTAGTTCTGCTCTATAAGGTCATTATGAGTTAGAATCCACTCCCCAGCAACAGGTTTGGGGTTTTACTACCTTACACCTTGGGGCCCAAAGCTAGCCTCAGCTGGGTTTTTGCATCATCCCATTCTACTGGTAAGAATTGAATTTTAGAGCCATAGGGAATGATTTTCTCAAGCAAAGGGGAAAAAAAGGTAGACCTCCATCAATCATAGCAGCTCTCTTTAAAACTTATTTTTAAACATTGGGCATTAGAAATAAAAACTGCAAAAAACAAATAAGTTTTTTTTATATATGAAAACATAAATACAGGATTTGGGTCTTTAAAAATGTATGTTTCGATAACCCTTGATTAGCAATAAAGTTGGGGGAAAAATGTATGTTTCATATAAAGCTTAGAAGTAGATCTTTTTAATTGAGCCTTAAGAAAAGCAGAATCTTATGGGATTTCAGTTTGGGGGTTCTGTATTTTTTGAAACCTACAGCAAAATATATTTTCTGACTTCGTGGGAGACAAACTCTTTTGTACCTCACCTTGACTGTATGCCCTATAGGGTGGTAGGAGGAGCAACTCGTGGAGCTTTGATCCCATGGTTGGCAGTTGGAAACCACCAGCAGCCCTCGGGGAGAAAGAGTGGGTTCTCTACTCCCGTTAACAGTTACAGCCTCAGAAACCCACAGGGGTCGCTCTGAATTGGCATGGACTTCATGGCAGTGAGCTTGGTTTTGGTTTAGAGTGGTTGGAGGCAAAAGACAGAGGGGTTTTCTTATTTTGTTTTGTTTTTTATCACTTTTCTGGGTCTGGATGGGAAGTCTGTGAGCACCAATGAAGGAAGCACTGAACTAAGGGAGGTCTTAGGTTTTGACCAAGCCCTGTCTGCTTTCTCACTTTGGCAGTTAACATTCACACTGCTGTTTCCTAGAACAGCAGTTCTCAACCTGTGGGTCGCAACTCCTTTTGGGATCGAATGGCCCTTTCACAGGGGTCGCCAGATTCACAACAGTAGCAAAATGACAGTTATGAAGTAGCAACAAAAATAATTTTATGGTTGGGGGGGTCACCACAACATGAGGAACTGTATGAAAGGGTCGCAGCATTAGGAAGATTGGGAACCACTGTTCTAGAATTTAATGTGCTGCACTCCCGAGTTCTCATTGAGCAAGTCTCAACAAAGGAACATCAGTAAGTTCTCCCAACTGTAACCTCGAAGCAGCTTAGAATGTTAACCTTCATTGTTAAATGACTCCAGTGTTGAAGAATTTTGCCCTGGACTAGAACTTGCAGGCGATGATGGCATCAGTAAAATCTCCCATGATAATTCCCATAGGTTTGCAGGTGACCCCGAGGCTCACAAAGCTCTTTGCAAAAGTAGAGAGACCATGAAAGACGCAAAGCCAACACCTGTGAGGAGCAGAAACTGCAGGCCTCGGAGTCTCACCGTGCCAAAGCTGGGCGCTGTAGAATCGCCACGGCACGGCCGGCCGACACAATGCAGGGCCTGGGAGTGGAACAAAGCCCGCAATTCTTGAACATAATGAACCTTTAAAAAAAATCTCCTTCTTGTCTAAAGGCTAAAGATGTGTTAATGAAACAGACAGTTTTCCAAACCACAATAGGACTTCATAAATAACTTTCCACCAGTCTCAAAAGGGACATCAAACTGAAAATATGGTTTTCTTCCATTTAAAAGAATGTATTCTCTCAAACGATCGTCTCTGGAAACAGCACTGAAAAGAAAGGAAAATGGCCACGCTGATGTGATAGGCATATCAGAAAGGAAAGAAAGAACTTTTGAGAGAAAAAAACCCAAGGCCCAAGCATCAATGTAAATAATTCATCAGCCCCTCTCTTCCGGCTCCTTTCTTGTCTGGTGAATGGCCCGCGCCACGCGGAGCTGCGCGTGGTCAGAGGGGCGGCGCCACGTTCCAGCCCGCCGAGCCGTCCGTCCCATCTGGCCTGGCTTCTTGGGATCCTTTTGACCAGAACAGTCGCTCACTTCTTTCTTTTCTTTTCCTTTTTTCCCAGCAAGGGTTTTCATCGTGCAATGGTTGGGACTTTGTCTCTGTTCTCCACGACGTGTTGTCTACGTGCATTCAAAAGGGTGACGTTCCTGTACTGTCAGGCAATAAACCTGTCGGGTTGAATTTCCTTCTCGGGATCAAGAGCTGAGCTGAGCACTCGCACAGTTTAAATACGTACGAATCAGACACCCCGCACGGCATTTGTGGCTTTCTGTTTATCAAGAAGAATCCAATGAGTTTTACTGAGGTGCTCGCTGACCTTCCATTGACTCTTGCCCCACTTAGGTGGCCAGTAGTCAGTGATTTGTCCCCCAGAGTCTGTTTCCTACTATTTGAAGATTGTAGGGAGCGCCAATTTGATGAACATGACAAACCGAAGGGAGGAGCTGGGGCCCTTTCTTTACACGATTCTTTAAGTCCGGGCCATACTCATTGCTAGAGCCTAACTTGCACTTATTTTATACAAGCAGTCTTGCTTGGCCTAAGTCCCATGTACACACTTTCTGTTAACACAGTACTCTGCAAGGCCTGCATCCGTGTATGTGATGCACATATGTACCTATGTGTGTGCATGTAGTGATTCTGATCTTTGCATGTGCTTATTTTCAGGTATATGAAAATGGTAAAGACACTGGAGAGATTCCTGTTTGTATCAATCCCAAAGATTTGCAGTCTAGTGGCTCAACTCAGCCTGCCGAGATGACAGAAAGAGTGAGTTTATTTACCATTTATTTGCGACTGTACCTGTGTTCTAAGTTACTCGTCGTGAATTTAGAGTTACAACTTGAAAATCATTTAGAAAAGATAGGAATTATCAGCTCGGTGTGAGGGTCAATTTTGGGTGTAGTGGGACCTCCTGGACCCTTACCTAAGACCATCTCAATTTCCATTATGCTTCTTTTTGGAAACCTGTCCACCCTTTTTCTTTGGGAAATCTGTGTGGTTTTGCCACACAGAGGTTGCTATTTTGTTCACACTTTCAAAAAAACCGGGGGTGGGGGTGGGGGCAGTCATCATGTTCAGTAGGGGCCCAGGGGGTTCCAAGTCCTAGACACAGAATAGCGCACAGACACTTGCTCTTCTTCTACCTTCCACCCGACTGGGAAGCCTTCCAGCTGGTTGATCGTAGGCACCCTTACCTTTGCCTCCTTTCCAGACAATTGGTTTGTTTTTCAGGCAGAACCAACATGTTCAGGGTCTTTCTTTTGGTTCTTTGTCTTGCATAAAAGGACACGCAACACCCTGTTGTTTACAAATTGGGGTTATGCGCCCGAGTGCACAAGCAGTGTTTGGGGCTCTGTTGCCTGGCTTTTGTTCAGGAGCGGACTCCTCCACCCCCCCACCTGCACCTTCAGTTCCGCTCCCTGAGACGTACCTCTTCTTGGTGGTGTCCATTGCTTAATGCCTACAGCCTGTCACAAAAGTTGCAGACGCACGTGAGAAGTGCTCACGGGATCATTAGCTGGGACCCGAAGAGACTGGGAAATGCTGTCTTGATCGATTAGAGAGAGAAGGCTGTAGGGCCTGGATGGTTTCCTTTTACCATTGTCACTCTGAGAACATAAATTGCCTTCTAAGAATTCTCCATATGTCTCCCCCATTTTGATATTAGGCTATAATATTTTACTTTTTGCTTTATGTTAAAATCAAAGGTGGATTTTATGTTATCTTATACAGGAAGATGGTAACTCATAGGAACATTTGTGTTTAGGCACCCCAAAATGGATCTTTGCTTCTATTTTAAAAAGTATTATTAATTGGGAGTTAATACATATATCATTCCATAGTTCAATCATGTCAAGCAGAATTGTATAATTGCTGCCACAGTCAATTTCCAACCATTCTTTCTCTACATGGACTCCTTGACATCGTCTCCCTTTCCCCTCCCATCACCACTGTACTCCCCTCCCCTCCCTCTGAAACCCATGTTCTACTTGCTGTCCTTATGGGTTAATCAATACAGGGTTTCATATGCTAAAAACCAGAAAAACATGTAACACAATTTCAAGAGCGTGACCCCAATGAGATAACACCTCAGAGGTGCACCCTAATATGGACAAACAAAACAAAATTACAAAAAATGTTGAAAACCAGATCAAGTCCAGCATGCATCAAAGCGGGTGGGTGTGTGTGTCAACTGACAAAGTTTTAACTATTCAAGTGAGATTTATGCTTGTGATCTTCTATACTCCTCTCTCCAATACACCCTGTTTAGTAACCACTTTCCTTCCATCCCTCAATTGTGCCTTAAATCCGGATGGGAGGTGGGTGGGTGGGGCTTGAATCAGCCGATGTAAGGCTTTTGCTTGGTACGGTCTTGGCAACACCTAGGATGCCTCAGTGTATGAACACTTGTCTCTAATCACTAGCCTAAGACCTTTGATGCTTTTCTCAGGTCCTTGAGCACGTTCTTAGCCCATAAAAGCCTGGTGATGATAGCTATAGAGATAGGTGGGATAAAATTATCACAATTTTTGGTTGCCATAGCCCTTGCCATGCCGTAGGCCCTTACCTCCCATAGGTTGTGGGATGCTCATCTCTGAACACCTAAATTGCAGCCGGTCACCAAGTTGAGAAAGTAGAGATTGCAATGCAACTCATGGGAAAGTGAATTTGGTTAAGTGGTCAGGTGTTTCCGTCCTCTCCCTTCTCTACCACAGAGCCTTGTCCTTTTCGCAAACATTTCTCTGCAGGATCAAACCTGACATCTTTAGGAGCCTCCCCTCGTCTCAAAAGGTGTTGGCCTGAAAAGCAAAATCACTGCAATTTAAAACCAACCAAACAAACAGGATCAGTATTACGTGTGTTCTGAAATAATAGCAAAGCAACAGACAGAAAATTTAGAGCTGAGACTGTGCAGAAATAAATGGCAGCTTGGTAGAAATAATCTCCACACCTGACAGCATTTCTGCAGTTCTAGCTGGGGGAAGGGAACCCAGAAAAAGAGAGTCCCTGCACTTCTAACACCTTTGTGTGTTAGTCCCCTAAGGAGACGAGTAATCATTTCATAGTCAAAGCACTTGACTATGACCCCTGAGCAGTGTTAACTTTAATGAAGGGAAAGATGTATCATCGTTTTCAGCCTTTCTGATGCTCAGGGCTAAAACTCTGACGTTGTAAAAGGCAAGGCAAATCTGGAAGTTGGAGATGTTAGCATTTACTTATCAGTTCAACATGTGAATCTTTTACCACTGAGGAAGTTTCTGGCCAAGGAAAAGATTTTACTCATCAAGTGTTTACAGTCAAGCAATAAGGAAACCTGAGCTATCTGGCAGATTGCAACTTGTTCCTCTTCCTCGGAGCCTTGGTACTTAGCCCATCTCTAATATACCTTCAGTGGGAATGAATAGAGACAGCCCAAAAGCAAACAAAAAAAGGCACATCAAACTGCAGTTGGGCACGAAAAGACCATAACGACATCCGCACCCCGCAGGGATGATAGTCACAAGAAATTGAGAGACACAAGAACTGACAAGGGAGGGAAGGAAAGGAAGCCTCTGCCAGAGGCTGGGGGCTGGCATGGGAAGGGAGACACAGGATGGACCGGGTGGGTGCAAAGCAGGAAAGAGCAGAGATCTGAACACTGAAACAAAGGTGACACATGATAATGAAAAAATGTCATGAAATTCCACCTGCAACGGAGTTTAGTCAGATGTACTCTGCATTTGAAATATGCCTTAAATGTGAAATAGCTTAATGATTCGGAGACTCTAAAGTCATAGAGGAGCACCCACTGACAGTGCTATTATTTCAACTACGAAATGACCACATTTCATATTTTGTACTTCCATGAGGTCTTACAACTTGAAAGCATCCATTAAGCTGCTTGGACTCATTAATTAATATAGACTCAGGAATAGCTCCCAAGTGAATCACTTACAGACTGAGAGTCGTGTTTGTTTTTGCAATCCCGTCAGTGGGAAATTGTCCCCCGATTGATTACCTGAGGTTATTTGGGGACAGGGAGATTGCCCCTTGTAAAACTCGAACAGATTCTGGAAGGACCCCAACAAAATGTGTAGCTGAGACAAGGGACACATAATCCTTATCGAAGAGAACCATTCCCGAGTGTAACCAAACGCTTTCTGTAAGATTGTCACATCTGCTTTCAGTCACTGTGCCGAAGGGTCAGGGCTCCATCACAAGCCTGTGGCACCCCCTGCTGGTTAAAAGCCCACGCTCATTTTGTTACTTTACAGCGAGCTAAACACTGCAGTCATTTCACACTTCTTTTAACATTCTATATGAATTTAATTATCAGTTGTTTGGACTTCATTTGTTACTGAATCAAGACAGTTTATTAGATGTTCACATTTTAGGTTTTTTTCCCCCCCCTTCTCACCACCAGTTACTTTGCAAGATTCATCAAAGGCTTCAAGCCTCTTCCTTCAACCCACCGAGCCTCAGTTTTTCTTCAGTCCGGCTTTTCGATGAGTGTGGTCAAGAAATTAAGAATCCACTTTTGCTGAAGAATGAGCAAAAAATTTGGGTCTCTTATGGTAAAGCATACAGGTAGGAGTGAGTCGTCTGTTATCTGTCTGTCCTCAGTCATTCTGTAGGCAAGCCTGTTTTCAATGGAGAGTTGAGACCTCAAGTAGTGCCTTTAGTGAAAAAAAAAAAACGTTGTTTCTTTTCCCCCAGTTCATTTTGAATTCCAATAAAATTTCAGGGGCATTTTTGTGAGGCAGTATTGTTTGTGGAATATGACATCCCTCTCTGTCTGTCTCTCTCTGACTTTCGGTCTTAGCACAGCAAGAGGGATTTGTTCATGTCTGAGTAGGCACCTTAATGACAGCAGATGGAAACGCCACGGGGGCCCAGCCCATCACACTGTCATTGTCGCACACTGCCCTGACCTGCTTCCACGCCTCTATTTTTTTGTCCCTTTTTAAAGGAGAAATGGATGGTAATTGAAAAGGATCTTAAGCAAGATTTATGAAGCTGTAGACAACATGATTCCCCACTATCTCTCTATGTTTTCACAAATAAAGTCTTAACCTTTTAAGCACCACTGACAGGACAACTAAAGATAAATTGGTAAAGCCGGTAAGCCCTATCCTTTCAAAGTTACATTCCTCAAAAGTGCCTTACATTATCCCATAATAATTACTGGTTATTGCTGAGCATTGTGTAAATTTTTGTAGATTGGTAAATTTCTGCATAAAATTATCTGTGTTTCTGAGCAAAGGGGGTGGCTGAGGTATGCAGGCACTAATGAGCTGGGCTGTTGGGCTGAATACCTTGGAAATTCATGTGTATTTTGACAGCAGCCATCCAGATGAGCCCTAAAACTGCTTGTCAGGAAACTTAAACATACTTTTCTGTCTATTAATTTTTTTGAGCTCATCATTTATCTGTAGAAACAGTAGGGGAAATAATTTTACTTATAGAGGAGAGTTGGTTGTATATTAATTATAACAAGAAGACCATAGGCAGGTCTAACTCTTAGCAAAGTAGGAGCTGATTGGATTTGCTATGTATTGCAATCATCAATATGTCAATGACGGGAGCATATCTATTTAGAAATCCAGGAAGGTCTTGAAAGGAGTTAGCAGGATAAGTTGTGGGTAGCATCTTCTAAAATTTTACTCTCTCTCTCCTACTAGAGTAAATTGTCCAATGATTTCTTATGCTGCAAAATTTATAAAATTAAACAGATCCATAAGGGCTAGTAAATTTTTTTCTTTAGGCAAATTTCAAATATAATTTAATTACATTGTGAGTAGAATTTTTTTATAATGATAAAAAAGCAATGAATTTTACAGTACCTAGTATTCTTGGATAATTTAAAAGCCAATTAGAAGGCAAGGCTTTAATAAAATGTGTGTCATTATTCTTTCTTTTTAATATCATTATCAAACAAAAGTAATGACTAGTTTTGATGTTTTTAATGATACTTGTTATAATACAGTATTTTAATAAGCACAAAACACTTGTCCTTAGCTAATTAGATTATATTCGTGGATTAACTAGTAAAATGCCAAGTGACTAGGATATTCTAAAATCTTTTGAGGATTATAGCTGAGAAATTCATATAAGTGTTTGTTACTTATATTACATTGTTATTCTAACAGGATTTTTTCCCCCTTCCGGTTTTGAATCCAATATAAAACACCAGGAAACTATTATAGTATTTTACTACCACTGGAACTTATAAAATTGATGTGCCTAAAATGTTATTGCCATCTAATTTCATTTCATGATATTTGTTTTCTGGGAGATCTTAACATGTCTAATTTATGTTACTATGCAATCAGGTTGCTCATTTGCAAAAGATGATTTTGTTAATACCTGTTTTTATTTTGAGACCTTTCATTATTTTTCCTCAAATATTTATTCCAAAAATTTTTGAATTGATAGAATAGCTAGTACAGTGTGTACCCATGTATTCTTCACCAATATTTGCCAATTGAAAGAGTCTGCGACATTTGTTTGAATACTTTCATATTTCTCTTCTCTCTTTAAAAAGGTGAAAGTCATTTCAAACAATTAATACGTTTTTAATCCCTAAATGCTTCAGATCACATAACTGAAGAATAGGACATTTTTTAACATCATCACATTATATGTATCTAAACAGACAACAATAATGCAATAATATTATACAATATCCAAATTGTGTTCAAATTATGCAATTATCTCCCAAATGTGTTATAAAGCTTGTTGTAATCTGTATCCTTTTAAGAATCCTATATTGTGCTTAGTTTTCTTTTTTCCCCCCAGTTCTTTTTCCTTTGAAAAATCAAAGATTGCCCAGCATTGTCTACTTACTTTTTGTTTTGATTTCATGCCCTTGCTTTTATTTTTTTTGAAGAATCATATATATATATGTGTGTGTGTGTGTGTGTGTGTGTATGTATGTATATACATATTTTAAAGAATCCAGGCTTCCCTTCTATAGAATACCCAGATTCTGGATGTTTGAGTGTTTTCTCATGAATTCATACTGTTTAAATGCTTGAAGCAAAAATATTACATAGATGATGTGGTTGTGTCCTTTTTTCCTATAGTTAAATAACTTGTCTTTGACATCAATCTAGAGAAACATTGTGACCTATTTAAGATCTGTGTTCAGTTTTGGTTACCAAATAATCAGATTAACATAAAACAATGTGCCTTACTGTCACTATCATGAAAAAACATTAAATAAACTATGTTTTTTTATTTTTATTTATTCATGCTATATGTATTGAACTCACAAAAAATATTTATATCCAGATATTAAGGATTCAGTTAATTATCTGCCCCAAAAATCAACAAGGGTGCATAGCATTGCAATTATATATAAACATCAAACAAATGAAAATTGATTATTTTTAATCCATGAAATGTTTTATTGCACATGTTGCACACAGTCTTGGGCCTATTACAAATTAGCTAAATAAACTGAAATGTACGTTTCAGTATGTACATTTCAGGTGCAGTATGGGACACTAACAGTTGTGATATGTAAATATGAAATTGCTCATTCCTGGGTTTTATTAGATCCTGTTACTATATAATTGGCTGTTTGTTTTTCTTCAGTTTCAATATATGAATAATTTTGAAGATATTTTGATGCTATTTTCTTTTTCAGATCTCCTCTGAATCCTGTTTTGGGTTTGACCTTTGACCGAGTGTCTGCTTTTGACAAAGGTGGCATCACAGTTGCATATAAAACCTTTTTGGATCCTGATGCTGTTCTACTACCTGGATGTGACAGGTAAATTAATATGTTTGGTTAAAATCATCTGTATTTTCAGACTTCTCAGAGTAAGAGATTTGAAAAAATATATATTATTTGAAGTGTCTTACATAAGTGATGATTTATTTTATTGACTTATTTTCATGGTATGAGCTAGAGCCAAGGAAAACTTGTTAGTAACTTTCCTTGAGTTAAAAAGAAATAAAAGTATATGGGGCAGTGAGCAGATTGTAGCATCTAGTTTGCAGAGTCAACATTTTGTTTTAAGTCTTAAATCTTAATTTTTTCATGGATGTTTCTGGAATAGTTGTTTTAAGCGGAATAATTAAATAGAAAATAGTAATATGTTCCTGTGTATGAGTGTTCATATGTAAACATCTCATTTAATATTGATAAAGTTAAAACAAAAGCAATCGATTGGAGGCTTGGTGGGACTATGAAGAGTAGAGAATGCATTTGCATATCTTGGAATCCATTCCCATCTCAAGGAGTCTATGTGTCCTCATGAGGTATGCACTGAACTGCTAACTGCTAGGTCAGCAGTTCAAACCCATCTGCTGGAGCATAGGTGAGGCATAGTTCTACATGAATTGGATAATAATTTACTTAATCTCCCAAATCCATTTTTCTGTTATTATCTCAAAACAAAACAAACCAACATTTGCTGCCATTGAGTTGATTCTGACTCATAGTGACCCGATAGGACAGGGTGGAACTGCCCCTCTGGGTTCCCAGACTACAACTTTTGACTGGAGTCGAAAGCCTTTTCAGTTTTCTAAGGAGTGGCTGGTCGTTTTTAACTGCTGACCTTGCTGGTTGCAGCCTAACATGTAACCACTACACTACCAGAGCTCCTATTACCGTATTTTACTTCACTTTATAGAGGCTGAAACTGAGAATCAGGGGGTTGGAGTAATTTGCCCAAAGTCACATAGTTCTACCACGCATAGGTGGTAGAACCAAGATGGTCTCTCTTAAAGAACCTGAGTACTTAGCCTCCATCCAATGCACTGTCTGATAAAACTTTTTGTGATGATGGAAGTGAACATTGTACCTATTAATCCCCTGAGGTGTGATTAGCATTACTGAAGAATGGAAATTTAATTTTGTGTCATTTAAATGTACATAGGTCTTGTGGCTGGTGACTACTATACTGGACAGGGAAGCTGTGCAGTATACTGATTCTGCATTCGATTAGATGACCTACTTCTAAGGCCTCATGTAGCTTTTTGTAACATAACACATTATACCTCAACTTAAAATATAGGCAATGAGTCTAAAAGTAGAGAGCCAAAAGTAGTCTGATGAGGTCACTCAGTCCAGGTCGTGTCGAATCTATTGCTAAATATGACTAGAAAGACAAGATCTTCGGTCTTCTTTGGTGGCTGGTGAAATGAAAATTATAGCCTCTCATGACTAACTCTACTACTTTCCAAGCAAGAATTAAATCTTTATTCTTGTGCTCTTTTTTTCTCTATAGTAGAAAATAATTATTCAGTGTTTTGTTCATAGGTCTTTCACACTTATAAGAAGAATTATTTGAGTACAGTAATCTTCCTCCATGCTGCTACATTTTCCTAGTTCCCTTTCTTTTAATTTTTAACTGGCATATTTTTATTTTTCATTCATCTATTCTTCCTTAGTTTTACTTCCTTCAGTGCATGAAAACTGTTTGATTAGATTGATTCAAGTTAGATATGTGTTTCTAAGTATATAATAGGAAATTATTTTTGCTGATCCGAAACGAATCTTAATGGATTATTTCCTTAACTTTGTACAACATTAGAATTTTCTTTCTGTACTGTAAAGTGGTGATGACCTACTTGTAATATGGATTATTTGCAATCTTAATATTCATGCTCTTATTTACATTTCTGAGTCTTGATTTTTTAAAATGCATTGACCAGTGCCAGACTGGTTGAATATTGTGCTTCGATATGGTTGAACATACCAGTGTTGAGCCGGGTAATTGCCTTAGGGTAAGAATTTGTTCATTCTTAAGAGAAGTGATTTGGCTGAGCTAAGACTGAAACCGAGCTTGTCAAGTCTGTGATTTTTCTTTGTACCCACTGTACTATGTTGCCTCTTAAGTTTCTCACAAAAGTGCCATATTAGCATGTTGAACATAACCAAGTTAGCAATTGAGCACATTATAACCCTACTTAAAATAGAGGTAAAAAGGCAAAAAGCCGAGAGCAGAAGCAAAGATTCACAAGCAGTCTGACGAGGTCACTCCGTCCAGCTAACTAAATGTACCATCTGATTACAATTCTTCACTACTCACCGCCTAGTGGACTTAAAGCACACATTTTACAATGAGGGACACTTCACTTTAAGAGATTTTCTAAGATTCAGACAACAAATTTTAATATCTTCATTTTTTGGTAATTAAGTAGGTATGAAATAATTCAATATTCTTCATAATTTCAATGTAAAGGTTTAAAACCTCTTTACCACTTATAGATAACAAAGCAAATTATAAGTGTAATTTTTAAAGTTTGGAACCTTACTTTTTTCTTTCCTCATGACAGAGAATGAGACTTCGATGAATATACTAGATTGCAAAAAGTTGGTTGAAAGGTGGAATTAAAAAGATAATGGAATTTTTTTGAGATTTTGGAGCTACCTTGTACTAGTATATTAAAGAACATTGTGACTAAATAGATATATTCTTCTAAAATACAATGTAATGTTTTACTTTTTTTTAGGTGGGAAGTTTGTGAGGGATTTCCAATTACCTTTAAGTGCACCAGTCAGATGATACCAGATCAGTTCGAAAAGGTGGACCTGCAGAGCCATTTCCTACAGAACAAAGTAAGCATTCTTTGTTATATTTAGCAAGGCGCCATTTATGTATTGGATACTCAGTCGATATGTGATGATTGCCTGGGTATTTTTGCAAGTGTTTTGAAAACTATGAACTGTTTTACAAACATTGGGACCAGGGTTATGGTTTATTTTCTATTACGTAAGCAATTCCAACTGAAAAGATAGAAAGTATATATTGCATCATTTAAGTATCACTATTTAGCAGATTTTCTTAGTTGTCAGGTGCTGTTGAGTCAGATCCAACCCACAGTGACCCTACACACCTCAGAAAGAAAACATTCTTAACAATTGGTCCTGTGTTTGGCCCAGTGTTGCTGCCACTGAATCAGTCTATCACCTGGGGGTCTTCCTCTCCTTACCTAACCCTCTATTTTACCAACCATGACTTTTCTTATCCAGCAGGATCTCTCCTGACGATATGTCAAAAGTATGTCAGACAGAGCCTCGCCATCCTTGCCTCTGAGGAGCCCTCTGGCTTCCTTGTCCTTGGTAGTCCATGCTACTTGTAACATTCTTCACCAGTACCATAATCTAAATGCATCAAGTCTTCTTCAGTTTTCCTTATTCAATGTCCAACTCTCATATGCATATGAAGCGATTGAAAATACCATGGCTTGGATCAGGGGTCCCTTATTCTTCAAAGTAATGTCCTTGCTTTTCAGCACTGTAAAGAAGTTTTATGGAGCAGATTTACCCAAAGCAGTATCTTTTGATCTCTTGACAGTTGCTTCCATGAGCAATGATTGTGGATGCAAGCTAAGAAAAAATCCTTGACCGTGTCAATCTTTTCTCCATTTATCATGATGCCACCTGTTGGTCCACTTGTAAGGATTTAAGACATTAAGGTAGTTGTTAGACTTTAAGGCAGCTGTTATTTTTCTGTACTTTATGATGGAATCTACTTGCTTTACACGGTAGTGTGCTGAAGAGGCTTGAGTTCTTTTGAGAGCTCAACCCATAGTATCCCGATCTACAAAGTCTATTGCTTCACTTATACTTAGAAATTCCTTCTTCTACTAAAAATAATAATAACAATAAAAATCCCTACAGTTGAGCTATTTCAAAGAAGTCATACTTTTCTTTCCTTTTTTATTTGGCAAACAACATAGGGTTGTTAGACAGTTCAGCTTCATTCATTTTAGTTTTTGAATCCAGGAAGTCACAACCAAAAGACACCTGCAGAGATAGAAATGCCCTGTCTACCAATTTGGGCTCTTTACTTGCTACTTGTAAGGCAAAAGCAAAGAGCCCTGCCAGGGCCTGGGGTAAGGGATGGGCTGCATCTATGGGAGAGGTTTGAGGTTCACACTCTGTGGGAAAAAGATGAGGCAGCCTGCTCCTCTAAAGAGTCACAGTTTTTGGAAACCCCACTCAAGTCACGATGAGTCGGAATCAACTCAATGGCAGGGGATTGACTACAAAAGACACTATCCCAACATGCTCTTTTTATAGAAATCATTTTATTAGGGGCTCATACAACTCTTATCACAATCCATACATACATCAATTGTGTAAAGCACAGTTGTACATTTGTTACCCTCATCATTCTCAAAACATTTGCTCTCCACTTAAGCCCCTGAATTCAGCTCCTCATTTTCCTCTCCCTCCCCAACCCCCCTTCCCTCATGAATCCTTGATAATTTATAAATTATTATTTTGTCATATCTTGCCCTGTCCAACATCTCCCTTCACCCACTTTTCTGTTATCCATCCCCCAGGGAGGAGGTCACATGTAGATCCTTGTAATTGGTTTCCCTTTCGAACTCACCCTCCCTCCACACTCCCAGTATCGCCCACTCACACCACTGGTCCTGAAGGGATCATCCACCCTTGATTCCCTGTGTTTCCAGTTCCTATCTGTACCAGTACATCTTCTGGTCTAGCCGTATTTGTAAGGTAGAATTGGGATCATGATTATGGGGGTGGAGGGAGCATTTAGGAACTAGAGGAAAATTGTATGGTTCATTGTTGCTACATCGCACCCTGCCTGGCTCGTCTCCTCCCCGAGACCCTTCTCTAAGGGGATGTCCAGTGGCCTACAAATGGGCTTTGGGTCTCCACTCTGCACTCCCCCTCTCATTCACTGTGATATGATTTTTCATTCTGATGATGCCTGATACCTGATCCCTTCGACACCTTGTGATCATATAGGCTGGTGTGCTTCTTCCATGTGGGCTTTGTTGCTTCTGAGCTAGATGACTGCTTGTTTACCTTCAATCCTTTAAGACCCCAGATGCTCTATCTTTTGATACCCAAGCACCATCAGCTTTCTTCTCCACATTTGCTTATGCACCCATTTGTCTTCAGTGATCGTATCATGGAGGTGAGCACACACTGATGTTATTTTTTGTTCTTTGATGCCTGATAACTGATCCCTTTGGCACCTTGTGATCATACAGGCTTGTGTGCTTCTTCCATGTAGGCTTTGTTGCTTCTGAGCTAGATGGCCGCTTGTTTACCTTCAACCCTTTAAGACTCTAGATGCTATATCTTTTGGTAGGTGGGCACCATCAGCTTTTCAAAAGCTGCTTACTCACCCGCTTTGTCTTCAGCGGTTGTGTCGGGAAGGTGAGCATCATAGAATTCCAATTTAATAGAAGAAAGTATTCTTGCATTGAGGGAGTACTTGAGTGGAGGCCCAATGTCCTTCTG